TGTGTGAGAGAGAGAGAGAGAGAGAGAGAGAGAGAGGTCTTAAAGGGAAAATAAAATAATTTTTGCTTTTTGCACCAATATTTTTTGCTTTTTGCACCACTTGAATTATACGACTGTTAATGGGGGGGAAAGAGAATAAGAAAGAATCACCAGTTTTGGAATGCAGGTAATATTCCATGTACTCTTATTTTAATTTATTTTTTTTTTTGGTGGATTGGATACTATTTCGTGGTTACTACGTCATTTTATAAACTCAATAAATTAAATGTGAAAAAGAAATTAACTTTTTATCTATGTATTAGTAAAGTAGTAAAAATACCAGCAAAATTTGTGCATTCTTTTCTTGTGCGTCAAGTCTAAGGGTGAGCGTGGGTCGGTACGGTTCGGATATTGATAAATTTCTAGAACCGTACCAAAGTTCGAAGATCCCAAAATTCGATCTCTGGAACCGTACCAAAAAGTAGGTTCGGAGATTTGTATTTTTCAGTACGGTTCGGTTCAGTATTCAGGACTATTGAGACGGTATGGTTTGGTTCGGATCTTTAGAGATTTCTTATTTTTGTAGATTTTTTTAATGACTACCTAGTCATATTTTAAATTATATATGCTTTAAAAAAACAACATTCATCAATAATTTCATCATATTGAAGATTTTATTTTGAAATCAATTTTAGAAGTAACTCTAAATTTTAGTTATTTAGTTTTTATATGCTTTAATAAAACCAACATTCATCAATACTTAATCATATTAGAAATTTTATTTTGAAATCAACTTTAGAAGTAACTTCAAATTTTAGTTAAGACTAAGTTTGTGCAACTAATATTGAAAATTTAAAATTCAAACGAAATATAATATTTTTTTATAAAAAAAATATTCTTTAACCTTTCATATTATTTTAAATAATTATTTTATAATAGGAAAATTCAATTATAGATCAAGTATTACTAAGCATAAAAGTTAAGTGAAGGTTAATAGTTATTATTACTATATTATAAAGGATCAAAGGTGACATAAAATATATTAATAACACATCTAATGTTTTAATTTGGTTCTTAATTTCGGTTCTTCGTTTGGTACGGTATGGGACGGTTCGGTTCGGTTCTCGGTACGAATATTTGTGAAATTTCCAGAACCGTACCACTTATTTTTCCGGTTCGGTTCGGTTCGGAAAAAGTCAAACGGTCAACGGTTATTTTTCGGTTTGGAGTGATTTCGGTTCGGTTTTCGGAACGATTCGTCATTCTCTGAGTCTCATGCTCAGCCCTAGTCAAGCCCCTATGTATTACTATTAGGCTATTATTAGCACACTCATTTTTTTTTTTCAAACGACAAATATATTAGAATATGATTGTATATAAAATTCACCAATAAAAAATTGATTAGAACTAAACATGTCCTCAATGTTATCAATATAATTAAATAGTATCATCCAAACGTTTTTACATATCGCCACGTAATTTTAACTGACCATAACTTTCAATCATTTTCTTCTACTTTACATCAAATTAATTTTAATAAGTTCATTTTAAATATTATTTTAATTTAAACTTAAATTCTCATTAACAACTAACTATATATACCACTTTTTTTCGAAACGATAGAGATTATATATAAAAGCGCACAAATGTGCAAAAGTACAGTCACTAGCTGAATACAAATAGCCAACAACTGAATACAAGTAGCCAACAACTGAATAAACTGGGAGGACAAGTCAGAAGACCGCCTAGAACCGACTCTAAAAAGGGCAATGCTCTAGAAACACCAAAACGCACGACACTAAAAGCTCCCAAGAGGAGAATGAAAAAGAAAAAAAAAAGAACCCAACAGGGCAATGCCGGAGTGTCGATCCCAACAGGATAATAATGTCATACTCGGGCTAACCGAGGCCAACGACACAAACAACACAAGGCAAGAACAAACAAACTAAACACACTAAGAAAAACTACTAACTAAAAATACAGTCTCCCTCAGCAGAAGCAACCGAAAAGGACAGCAAGCAAAGCCGATTCCGAGGAGAGTTCCGAAGATCTGATACCCCGCTCGCCACTGCATAGGCCTATCAAGACGATGACCCAAGCCTCAGAACCATCCCAAAGAATCGACCCGCACACCGACCGCAAGACACCACAATCAACCCCCAACTGGCTAACACCGCTAGCCAATCCAACATTGGCCCGCACCTGCCTATCACCACTAGCCAACTCTGGGACCAGTCGACCTCCTACTATCTCAGGAACCTAGAAAGGAGGAGGAAGGGGACGATCAGCACCAATACTCGGCCGCTTAGACCCTGCCCGAGAGGACGAACCCAGCCTAAAACAACCGCCTAACCACCCAGCCCGCAAGGAAAAACCAGAGACCAGACTCCGACATAAACCAAAGACCTGGAACCGGGCTGACCTCCAAGCCCAGCTTGAAGAGACGCCCCGACCAGAGCACGAACTCGAGCTCCCCACCCAAACCCTGAAGACAAACCCCAACCCTCCTGCAGCCACACCAGAGCGCAGGCAACCAGAGAACCGGAGTTGAAACCTGCAAATCTGCAGCACCGGAAACGAGGTCGTCTGCAAAAGTGGAAAACGGAGACTCCTAAACAAGGACGACGCAACATCTTGAGCCGCGTCCAGCCACTGGTTCCACACTCCATCCAACCTCTCCACCCTGGAGCTCGGCGGCCTTCAAGCGGAGATCTGCAAAATCCACCGGAATCCTCCATCCACACCCCTCGGCCAGAGAGACGAAATGTAGTGGTGTCGCGGTAGTGGCGTGAACGCTCGACGGAGAGCAGTCCACCGGCTAATCGGATTGACGCCGAGAGAGGCGCAAAATGCCGACGCCGAGCCTAGGGTTACAGATGAAAGGGGATTTTGCAGGGACGAAGGAGTTTGCGCCACCGTTTTCAAAATCTCACCTTTATAATATTTTATGCTTTGGCTTTTGGCTCAGATAAAAATTAATTTAATTATATTCCCAAAGAAACAGGCTCCAACATACTATAATTATATTTGGTATCTACAACAATATTTATGATAATGAATTATGTATAAATGAGGATATCTTCTTTATTTCATAACTTATTTATATAGTTAAGGTCAATATTGGTTGATTACTTTTTTGCTTTATTTTAATAGTGAAACCTTATTTTTAAGTATTACTTTTCTATTGATTTACTTATAATTCTATCTTTCACTAGTACGATACATGTGTACTATACGGGTGTTCTACAAAATAATATAATTAAAAAAATTATTTATATATTTTGTTGAAGTTGGAAAAAATAAATAAGAAACAATATATAACAATTTATGATAAAGAACTAAATGAGTTAACAATTCTTTTTTTTTTAATTCTAAAAACTAACTTATATATATCATTAGTTTTAATTATAATATTTTTATTTAAAACACATAAGATAATAGTACGGGCAAAATACGAAATTTAAAAAATGAGATAATATGCACATTATAATAGAAAATAATAAATAGATTTATATAGAATAGTTTAAATATGTTAAATATGAATATTTATGTCAATCCAAACCTAACTATTTGGTATGAAAAAATTAGCAACATTTATCTGAGTCATTTACAGAGCGTAATATTTTGTCACATAAAATCACGAAACATGCGAAATTGTCATTTAAGTTTAGCGCATACTGAAATTTGTATAATGGATTCTTTTGGGAATAGTGTAAATTACTTTTGAACTAAACTAGTGTAGTATATAATATATATATATATAATATTTTATAATACTTATTTAAAAAATTACACAAGATCGTCCTACTCAACGATCGGCGACTCATATTTATTTGAATTTTTGTTGTGCCTTTTTGTTATGGGGCCATTTGATGGTTCGGCTTGTGAAGCTATTCATAGTCATTCACAAATAGTATATTTATACGTGTATTACAATAAATGCACATTGGACATGTGTCAATATATAATGTAATGGATGACTCCATAAAATTTCTGTTGTGTTTAATTTATCAGTCTAATAACCTTTTCACGATGTGCAGGTGAATTATTTTTTACTTACATTTTTAGACTTATAAAAGAAATATTTATCCCAATCTATATATATGTTAGGAAGCAGTTGGAAGGAGAAGGATAAAT